TAATATTTGATCAAAATTTATGTTTCTAAGATAAGGAAAAATTTACAAAAATTCCAACAAAGATACACTGCGTTTCAAAAAGATGGCACATCATGTTTTTTCGACATAACTCAGCGGAAGAGTGTCTATTTCGTTTAAAAATTTTTTTGTAATTAGGTTTGACCAATAAAATGCTATTAAACAGACCCGAGCGAAAAAACCATTTTTCAAAAATTTTTTATAAAATAATATTCAATTTTTCACTGTTTCAAAAAGATGGCACATGTCAAATTTTCGACATTAGGAGTGGTCTTAAAAATCTACAAAAATTCCTATAAACATATCTATTGATGTCAATAGAAAATACAAAAGAAACGAAGTTCTAATATATTTCCTTCATCGAGTTCTGAAAACCCGGAAATCAACTGAAAACAGGGGGTAAACGTCTTTAAAAAATATTTTCGACCCCTTATAGACTAAAGTAAATTTTTATTTTATACTTTTCTGATAGCCCTTTAAATTTACTATAAGAATCCCTTATTGCTAATAAATCGAAAAATTTTACTTGCGAGATATTCAGGGTTAAATTCAATATACATGAAAATCATTAAATTTACCCCTTTCTTAGCGCCTTAAAAATTTAATAAAGTACAACTTGATGAAAAAAATTTTCTGTAAAATAAAAATTGCAGGTATTATAGTAAATTTAAAGGGCTTTCAGAAAAGTATAAAATAAAAATTTACTTTAGTCTATAAGGGGTCGAAAATATTTTTTAAAGACGTTTACCCCCTGTTTTCAGTTGATTTCCGGGTTTTCAGAACTCGATGAAGGAAATATATTAGAACTTCGTTTCTTTTGTATTTTCTATTGACATCAATAGATATGTTTATAGGAATTTTTGCAGATTTTTCAGACCACTCCTAATGTCGAAAATTTGACATGTGCCATCTTTTTGAAACAGTGAAAAATTGAATATTATTTTATAAAAAATTTTTGAAAAATGGTTTTTTCGCTCGGGTCTGTTTAATAGCATTTTATTGGTCAAACCTAATTACAAAAAAAAATTTTAACGAAATGTACACTCTTCCGCTGAGTTATGTCGAAAAAACGTGATGTGCCATCTTTTTGAAACGCAGTGTATTTATAAATATACCTATTTATTTAATAAAAAAAATATAATTTTATATATTTTTAGTATTTTAATTCACACAATAGACGGGTTTTTATTTTGGCAGTTTAACGGGAAATAATTAATTGCCCGAGAGGGAAAGGAAGATTTTAAAATTATATTAAGTAGATATCGAACAACACACACAAACAAATGTCGGTAATTAATAACTTATATTTCCTCTTATAAACTAAATATATTTTAACAAAACAGAAGAGATATTTATATAGCGGGATTGAAAATTTAAATTGAAAATCTATTATATAAAAAGTAAACTTTATTTCGAAATTTCTATAAAATTTTTTAAATTCATTTACATAATTAATTTTTATCCAGACCCCAACAAAATATGTATAATATTAACTCTGAAAACATTTGCCGTATATGCTCGAATAATTACCCTGGGTAATAATGTTTCGGCCTCTCGCTGGGCCGAAAGATGATGTAATTAGGGGTAATACAGGGGGTAATTAGGGCTAGAAGGGGTAATTATTCGAGAGGAGGATAAATTTGGTGTATTTAAATATAAAGCATTTTTGTTTAAAAAACAAAACATTTTTTTGGATACGTTTGTAAAAGCCCTATAAATAACTCAAGTGCCAAATATATGTATTTTATTTTGGAATAAAATTATCAAAAAAATTTCTTTAAGTTATAGCTAACCTCATTCATTCTCCAGTTACTACCAACCTTCCAAACATGTTTTTTATTTTATTTTTTTCATGGCATAATCCTTTTGTTTCTAATCTCACATGGAAATTTTTCTTTATTTTTTACTTTAAGCTTAAACTTGAAAAAATTCCGAAATGAATATTTAATTAATTTTTTTTCTTTTTTTTAACATGTAAATAGCCTTCTATCTTAAACAAAATTCTTATTAAATTAATTTATTAATTTAATTTATTTTTAATTTCATTTTGTTGTTTATTTAGAAATTTATTCAAACAATCTGAGATTTTGATTAGTTTTTAGGGTTGATGGCGACCGGTTATTAACCGATACCCAATGTTTTTGGTTAATCCAAATTTTAGAAACCCGGTTTTCGGTTTTGAGTTTTAGGCAAATACCGGTTTTATTTTGGGGGAATTTTTAATAGAATCACTCATTTTCACAAATTTCCGGTTTTCGGTTTTTAAAATTATCTAAAAACGGTTAATTTTTGGCAAAAATTTCAATAATTCCGGTTTCAAAACCCTATTAGCTTCTTTAAGTTAGAAAAGCCCTTCAAAACCCCCCTCAATTTAAAATTTCCTAATTATTTAATTTAAATTCAGCACCTGCCTATATTTTACATATATTTTTATTTAATTTTTTTATTTTTACACATTTTCTCAATAAAATAACAAACTCCTTTTTTATCAGATTCATCTCCTTTTTATTATTTTTATTTGTCCAAAAATTTTTATGGCGCAGACTTTCTTTTTGTCCTCCCACCTTTTTTTACAATTTATTCTTTTATATTTTCTACTCTCATTGAGAATAGTTTATTTTTCCTATATATTTTTTGTCAAATAAAAAGAATTTTTAAACAAAAACAGCCAAAAACAAAATTTTTTTAAATTTTTTAAGTTTTTCATAAATTTTACATAAGAGAATATATTTTTATAAATTCATTGTTTCTTCATAGAAAATTCCTAATTTTTTGTTATTAATTTTACTGGTCCTTTGGGCTTTTATTTATTCACTTGATAAGTGTCCCATGTTAGTTAATTCATATTAAATTGAATTTTTCGGTAAATAAGGAGGTAAATCGGTCTGATACTGTTCTAGAACAAAAATCTCGATGCCGATATCAATTTTTTCTTTTGACCCTCCCAGTCCGGTCCTTATAATAAAAAGTATTTTCCTTTAAATATTTACTTTTATCCTTTCGTATAACTAATTAATTTTTCCTGAATTTTCTCGATTAGTTACCTTGGGGAATTAATATTTCTGCTTATCTGTCTGATGGGGAATTATTCGAATTTTGAAATTTAAACGCTCAATAGAGCACTTGGGGGATGGAATTAATATTTAAACCCATCCATGGCATAGGGGATTAATTAAAATTATTTTAATTTTATAATTATTTTCTAATATTTTCTTATGAAATTAAAATTAAATTTTTTTAATTAACAAAATTAGATAAAAAAATTTATATCTTTTTTATTAGTAATAAAATAATATAAATATTTAATAGTCCATTTTCCCCTCTTCCCCTTCAATTTCTGTCCATTTTTAACTTTTATTTTCATTACCTAGTACATTTATTCATTTCCTATAGTTCTCGATGCTATCCAAATTACTACACCACACATACTGCTTTACATAAATAAATATTTTATTTTTCAAATTCTTTATTTAATTATTAAAATAATTATAAATTAATAATTGTGTATATTTTTGTTTGATTTATTAAAAATAAATATGTATTTAACAATAAGGTTTTTGGGGTACTCTTGACTTATAGAGGATATAGGATTTTTTCAGCCCAAAATGTGCTCACTCCACCCTTCTTTTTTCAAACTTAAGAGGTCTGTAACTCGGTCCCTGTTGTCGGATCGATAATTTTCACAACTCTTTCGATTCAGCTCGACGAGCTCTTTCGAATGACACCTCATACGTCCGTATCCGTCCACGCAATAAAAGTCCCCTATAAGTCGAAATTTCTGTTTTCGGATCAGGATATCCGAAGATTTCCAGTTATCCGATAACCTTATTTAACAAATAAGATAATTTTAATATTCAATAAATATCTTATTTTTCAAAAATAACTCCAAAAAAGTTTACTTTTAAAATTAAAAATTTGACTACAAATGCTGTAAATAAATTATTTTCTATAAATTATTGTCCCCAAATAAGTATTTATTTATTTACTTTAACTTCTCGGCTTTAAAATATATTTTCCCAACAGATTATAGCACTATCAGTAACGAAAAACAAAATTATTTAATACCCAAAATTGTTGCAAATTAAAAATTTAAAATAAATTTGTATCGGGAATTATTGTCTAAATAATTTGTTAAAATATTTTTAAAATTCTTTTTTTGAATTGTGACACATTTTTTAAAGACGATTATATTTAAAGACATACATTTTTTAAAGACATAATTTTTAAAGACAAATTTTTTAAAAGCATAATAATAATAATAATATATGTAATATTTCAACAATTCCAGATTTATTCACCTAGCATTTTTAATTAGAGTTCCTTTCAGAAAATTAGAATTATAATTTGAAAATTATCAATTAAAGAATTAAATTAAATATTTTTTTTCGGGTTTAAGTAAATTTTAAGTTTTTAATTTCTTTTTTTTTCTAAAAAACAACTAAAATTGTATGAAAAATGATAATGAAATAAAATTATTACTTTATTCTTTGGCAATAAATATGAGTATAATTTTCGTGATATCTTCTAGAACTAACGAAATTTTGACTGAAACTAGAAACGAAATTTTCGTACAAAATGTTTAGTAAAACCGAAACTGGAAGTCTCACATAACTTTCGGCGAAGCTTTAATAGTTATTTATTTTTTATTTTAAAGTATGGTTTCCAAAAAAAGAATATCTTTTTTATATATAAGATTTTTTTAATTCTTTTATTAAATTAATGTAAAAGTTAATAATAAGTTTGTGTGATACTTTTTTCTCATCTTTTTATTTCCGTAGAAAAAGTGATGAAGAATGCTTTTTTGATATTTTTGAGTTTTCCAGTAGGTAATAAATTGTACTTTGTTCGAATATGAGTTCAAATTTTATTTATTTCTTACGGATGTATCATAATTAAATTAAATTATTATTAAATTTAATTATTAAATTGTTAATAATTATTAAATTTTAACAATTTGTTTAATTAAACTTTATTTTTTAGAATTCCTAACAAAATTCTGCAGATGCCTCCAAATAGGGGATGTAAAACAACAAAAGAAATTCATAAAAATATTAAATATATACGTCAATATACCTCTAATTTTATTTTATTATTAATTATTTCTTTAATTTTCAAATTTAAAAATGCAGAAGCAATGCTTGATGTTTCTTGGTGGTCAGAAATATTTTTTTTATTTTATCTTAAAATTTATTTCAATTTCGAAGCAAAATGAATATACCTAATTAAATTCTGATTTTTACGATTAATCGTTTACAAAATTCCACTTTAAATATTCAAAAAAATTTAAAGGTCATCGGTTGCCCAGTTAAGTAGCCAACTTAATTTACAACAACAATTAGAGGAATTAAAAGAACATCAAAATCCAAATAATTTTTATTATCAAGAAAATAATCAAAACAATTATCCTAAACAACAATACCCTCCTTCACCTTCCACAGAATGTACAGAATTAAAAGGGCTTTCACCTGGACAGAAAAGAATTTGTAAGAATTAGTCGAATAAATTAAGAAAAACATTAAAATACCGTATTTCCTAAAATAGTACTGCCCCCTGAAATAATACTGCCCTTTAGTGGAGGATTGAAAAATAGTACTGCCGGCAGTACTATTTCAGGAAATACGGTAATTATTTTTTCTGAAAATTAAATACTAATTTTTTTGGAATTTACATGAAAAAATGAGGAAATAATTTTTATCCTAATTTTGACTTTTTAAATTTTTCTTTTGATTTAATTTCTGATTTTATTAATTCTAAAAAATGGTAATATGCTTTTTAGGAGATTTTATAATTTATTTTAGCTTATATTACTAAAAATTGAAAAATTTTATGCCCTTATTGTTATCCAAAAATAATTTGATTTTTAAATAGGCGAACTCTTCAAAGATCACATGCCGGCGGTTGGAAATGGTGCAAAACAGGCTATTTCTGTAAATTAATTTTTTTCACAAAAAATATACACAAAAGCTTTCCTTATTTTTATTCACCTCCCCAAAGCTAAATTCTCATGGATTATTTAATCTTTTTAAAGTTTTTGTTTTTTAACTTAAAAGGAATGTGAATGGCAATTCCGACATCACCGCTGGAATTGTTCAACACCTAGAGAGCTGAAAGGGCATATTGGACCTGTGCATAAAAGAGGTAAATGAGAGATAGTGATATCCTTTTATTGGGGAAATTTTTATTTAAAATACCTATGTATAAATTTAAATTTCTCTAAGGTACTAGAGAGGCAGCATTTACCTATGCAATTATGTCTGCAGGCGTTACCCATGAAATTGGTCGTCGTTGCCGTCTCGGGCTGCTTAAAAGTTGTGGGTGTGCTGCTGCAGAATCTAGGCCGCAACAACAAAATATTAATGATGACTGGACTTGGGGAGGTTGTGGGGATAATATCGACTATGGATATAGATTTTCGCGGTAATTAATGCAATTGTGCCTTATTAATATTAAAATAATTGTAAATCATACACTGCGGTGCATATGTTTATGCACACTTGTTTTTTGTTCATAAGTTTATGCACACTTATTCAAAAAATAAGTTTTATATAGCAATCGAAAGCTCTATTTGTATCTCAGTTGAAATGTTTCTGCATTTTCCATGAAAATGAAAATTGGCCGAGATAATCCGGATCTACCGGATATACCAAATCCCATATCCTCGGAAAAATTTTTCGGAAAAAATTTAACAAACCCATTTGATAAAGCATATTTTTGTGAGTATTTACAACAAAACCGCTTAGAAATATCTTTTTCCGGAACGGAGATATGATTTTTTGAAAATCGAAAAAAACGCGATTTCTTGACGAAAATGGCAAAAATATGGTATTTTTTCGATTTTCAAAAATTCATAACTCGGTCGAATCTCGACCGATTTGGATGAATTTTTTGTATTGTATGTAGAATCTGGAGAAGAATCACATACATTTTTTACAGACTACAAAAAAAATTTTCCGAAAAGTTGAAAATGTAGTACCTGTTAGACCGGTCGAAAATTTTTCGAAAATATCAGAATTTCGAAAAATACAAAAAAATGTCAACTGAGATACAAATAGAGCTTTCGATTGCTATATAGAACTTATTTTGTGAATAAGTGTGCATAAACTTATGAACAAAAAACAAGTGTGCATAAACATATGCACCGCAGTGTATAGCTAGTTAATTCCTAAGACTGAGAAGTAGGCGGCGTGTGTGTAATAAATAACACATCAGTCCGGTCTACTGAAGATGCTGGTATAGACCAGCTGCTTCACTTAATGAATCCTCCTGACTGACATAACTTCTCATGTCTTAAAATGCTTCCAACCTACACTATGTTCATTAAAATAGTCGTTGTAGGGTGTGTCGGATACGGAATTTTCGATTTATTTCGGGCCGGGGACTCTGGTTAATTTTTAAATGTTTTGGGTATATCTTGTTGGAGCTGACTTCCTTTATTTATCCCGGCCCTAGGTTACCCCCTCCACAATACCCTTGACAAGATTCCCTTTTAATTTCCGTACCTACGGCTATTCAAGAGAATGAAAATAAATATTTAGTGACTTTGTGGATGTCCGAGAGAAGGAGGAAAGTATTAAACGAGATGCTGAAGGTCATGGTCGTTCTTTAATGAATCGGTGGAATAATGAAGTTGGAAGAAAGGTTAATAATAATAAATAAATTTTTGAATTTATTTATTTAAAGATTTTAAAAAGACATACAAAACCTAAATGTAAATGTCATGGAGTTAGTGGTTCTTGTAATTTGAAAACTTGTTGGATGCAATTAGTTAATTTTTTTCTTAAATATAATTAAAATTTATTAAATTATTCTTAGCCTCCCATACGACAAATTGGCAACATTCTACAAGTTTGTATTTACGATTTATTTAAGGTTTACAGTCTCTAGAGGAGGTAAGAGTGCAGAATGCGTACCACAAAGGAATATGGATAAGATATATGGGGAGCAGGCCAGTGTACCGCGAGCCCAATGTACCGCCGAGCTATAACTTTCTTCAAAATTGTCGAATCCGTGGCCCCTGGTATGGTTCGGTTCAGCTTGTCGAGCCGCATCGAACCATGCCAGGGCGCCACGAATTTGACAATCATAATCTTACAAATTAGTGTCATGTTTACAGTCTCTAGAGGAGGTCTCGTCGAGCGGAAAACTCTGTTCGAGGAGCCCTTTTCGTATTCTGCACTTTTTCCCTAGAAGATAACCGGATATCCTTAAATAGAATCCGAACCGCAAATTTTCGGTCATCCACTCCATCCTTAGATTTATCCAACAAATTAAAATTCAATTTCAGGCCAAATACCGTACTGCTCGACGTATTCAAATCAACAGTCGGGGCAATATGCAATTTGAGGAGCCAATATTACCTTCATTAACACAACAACAAAAAACAAATTATCCATTAGAAAGAAGTCAAAAACGAAGAGCTTTAAATGAAAAACAAAAACAAAGAAGAAGGCAAAGAAATAATAATAATAATCGAGCACTGACAGATTTAGTTTATTTGGTAAATTTTAAGTAAAAGATAGGGGGTGTTAAATACAGCGCCTCCGGACTGGTTGATGATTACCTAACCAGCAACCTTGTTCTTATGATACGGCCCCTGATTATTAGGTAAAACCGATCTACAACTAAAAATTTGGGTGGTCATATCATTTCCGTATGCATTGTTATATGTACGTCCAGTTAAAAAAATTTATTCATGAGAATTACCCTATATACTCTATTAATTACCCTCCCGCAAATAATTACCTCGCCTCTATTAATTACCCCCTCCATTGAGGGAGTGAAACAATAATTACCTTGGGCAATTAATAGGAGCATCTACGGTGATTTAATTAGGGAAATTACTAAATACGAACATTTTGCCTCTTTATTATTTACAGAAATTCAAAATTTTTTAAAACTAAAATCATAATTATTTAAATTAAAATTATTATTTCAGGACCAATCCCCAACTTATTGTCAAGATGATCAGATAGACGGAACTATAGGAACCGAAGGAAGAATATGCTCGTAATTAACTTTAGAAAAAATTATTTTTTAAAATTTATTTTTCTAGTATTGATCCAGATGCTCCAAATTCGTGTGATCTTTTATGTTGTAATAGAGGGTATCAAAGTCACATTGAAGAAGTAAATTTAAATAATTTTCGAAAAAATATTTTTTTTCCAAAATTTTAGGTAATAAGTAAATGCAATTGTAAATTCCAATGGTGTTGTCAAGTTATTTGTGAGACTTGTCGAAACTTAACAGAAGTTTTTACTTGTAAATAAAATATTTTTTTGAAAATCTGTTTGTGTCATTTAGCTAATTAAAAGATATATTTCCTCAAAAAAATTATTTTTTATTTCCTCTTTTTTTATTCCTTTTCTGGACACGCGGACATATCAGGACGGATATATCAATGTAAGAACAGGTACCCTACTGATTTCGGAACGTACGGTCATTGGGTCTTGGATAGTATATTGTCCCATCGAAGAACACGGAAGAAATTATTTTTGTCCCCCCAATCCCGATATGTCCGTCCCGATATGTCCGCAAACCCCTTTTCTGTTAATTTTTGTAAGATCATCATCACTCTATAATTTCGCAAATAATTTAGAAAATAATTATTTTGTTAACCCTTTTAGTGATTAACAACAATTATTTGTTTGATTCTTTCAAATAAAATTTCATTGTCATTCCTTCATTTTTTTCGAAAATTTAAAATATTTTGAAAATTTTTATTTTTAAATTAATTTTAGTTAATTTCTAATTGGGTAACAAATAATTATTGTATTAAATACAACGATATAAATCAAAAAATACAGAGTGACCAGAAATTATTGGACATGTTATTTCCCTCATAACTTCATTCGAAGGGATAAAGTTGTGGAATAAATTGTAAATGATTAAATTAACGGCCAGTCAGAGACATGATTCTCCTTAATTCCAGTCTAGTGTTTTTATTGAAAACTAGGATTTATGAAGTGAAGCAATTTAATGAGGTACTCGTTTCCCAATTTTAAAGATTCATGTCATGCCAACTAGGGTTCGGGGCCCGGTTCGGTTCGAAAGATCTCTCTCCAATGGTCCGGTTCGATAAAAATCAGGCCCGAAAATGACTCGAACATCGCCCGGTTCGAAAACCCCAACCCTACTGCCAACCTCACAGAATAAATTTTGGAAAAATTTCTCCTTAAAAATTTTTCACAGAAAAACAACAAAACTTGTATGAAATAAACAATGTCCAATTTGTTTCTGATCACCATGTCTATATATTTATTTATTTATTTTAGATTCATTCATTCCTCAACTAAATATTTAACATTTTTATTTAATCATCATTCACCTCTTTTTTAAGCCTTTCCGATTTATTTCTCTTAAAAATATTTTACAAAAATTTTCCAAACTCTGAGAAAAGAAATAAAAAATAATTACGCATAACAAGGCTTCTGGTGGATGAATAAAAAAATAAAAATATTGGAAGAAATAAAACAAAAAAAATGAATCACAAACCTCATAAACTCTGCCATTTTTTTAAATAATATTTTTTGTATTAGTAGAATGTTAATATTTGTATATATTTATTTTATATTAGTTATTCAAACTTTACTAAATAATTATTAAAAGTTTAATTTTATAAATACATTTTACTAATAAAAATTGTTTATTAAACTCGTAAAACATTAAAAATTACCGTAAATTTGTGGGGGTTTCTGATTCTTCGGTAAAAATTTGTAAGATCCCTCGTAATATATTTAAGAGTCAACAATTCAATTTGTAATTTAAATCAAATTTTAATATATGTAGCAGCAGGGATTATCTTTATTTTTTTAGTTCCTAGCACCAACTATAATTATCATAGTCTTCTCCATTTTTTTGTTATACGAGCGATTTTTTGATTTTATTTTTTTATTCAATTTTAAATATGTATTTTTTTCGATCTCGTTTTAATTTTTGCAATAAAAGAAAATTTTGAATAGTGAATATATTTTGAATAGGGTTGTCGTTTAAAAACCGAACCGTACCGAAAAAACGAAGATTTTCGGTTCGGGTTGGTTTCGGTTTACCGAAAAATTTGGTGAAACCGAACCCCTAATTTTGAATTCTTATTTGAATTACAATTGTAATTTCGCGTAATTGTGAAATTTTTGCGAGTTCGAGTTACTCGACTCGACCACTTGGGTTTGGCGTCATTACTACCTCGGATTACTCGAGCTCGAAAACTTGTTACTCGACATACTCGGCTTAAATCGAGTGTTTTTATGCCCCTATCTGCGGCGCAAAAATGATAATTTTTGGCTTAAGGATCTTTCAAATTTCTCAAAAAAGAAAGAAATCTTGTTTCTTGGCTTTCCAAAAACTTTAAATTAAACTTTAAATATTCAAAATCTTTAATTTTTTATTGAATCCAAAATTTACTTTGAAAAATTTTATTTTTTTATTTATTTCCTTCTACATAAAATCCAAATTTTATCTTTATTTATATATTCTTCTTCCATCTACAAATTATCTTTTAAAACAAGATTTGGGATTCCCTTAAACTCCTTCTCTCTCTCCCTTTACTTGCGCAATCAGAACAACAAATCCGCGCAAATCCACTAAATATATAAAAATAAAAAGAAGGTAAATAAATAAATTTTTAATTAAAAAGAAAAAAAAGCTTTTTATTTTATTATCACATTTGAACGCCTTTTATTCTTAGAGCCATTCACTTATTCCAACTTTTTCCCTTTTAAATAATTCTCCGAATTATTATAATGTTATTTCGCTTTGCAACTTTAATATATTTTTTTATCAAACCTAAAATAAATACAACCCAAATGATCAATGCCCTGATCATTTGGGTTGTATTTACGGTCCTCTGGGGCCGTATTCTAAGAAATGGGTAGGGGTACTGGATAAACTTACCAAATTCTTCCTACTCGGGTAATAGAACCCCGAGCTGAGGCTTAACCCTTATTCCAGAAAAATCAAACCAGAACCCGATGATTAAGTGGGAGAAGTTTTTTCATAAAGTTCATCAGGTTACCGTTACAGAATTCTAGAATAAGGGTTCTGGGTTAACCTACTTGCAGCTAAGGTTTGAAAAACTCCTACCACGTTTTTAGAATACCGCCCCTGAGGGTGCCTATATTGGAGAGGTCTGATCGCGCATCCACTTTATACTCTTCTCCCATTTATGCCTTTTTTTGTTTTTATTTTAATTACGGAAACAAAACGTTGATCAACATATATATTCTGTTGATCTTCTAGCAATTCCATTAAATGAAGACATTTCGCGCCCCATTGCGTTTCCGCTCATTTCTGTTGGGAAAAGGGGCACTCCCTCCCTCAACAACTTCCCCCTCTCCTTATCTTTTTAAAAGCAACCTATAACAAATAAATACAATCAAGCCGTGAATAACACAAAGCCCCAAAAATATATAATTTATTTATTATATACATTTTTACCCGAAAATATCCCTCCCTCCTCTCTTTTTAATATTTATACCTAGCTTTGGATGAAATTGCGGGGAAAGTTGCTTTCGCGCCGCAAATGTTTTAGTTGGAGAGAGAAAGATGAGTAATTATTATACTGCACTTTTTGCATTTTTAGCTGATTAAAATTTTATTTTTAATTTTTCTTTTTATCGTTTTACTTTCTAAATTTTGTTAATTTACTTAAAAATACAATAAATTAACGTAAATAATATTTTATATGTATGTATAATAATTTTTTAATTACATAAATTCAATTTTAATTTAGAAAGAAACTCCATTCTTCATGAAGTTCACCAGTTTTAATTAATTTCATATATCCTGATCTTTTATGTTTTTTAAAAATTCTTTTAACATTCATACCGTATAACCTGTATTAATAGCCCTCTCCTAAATAGTTATCCCACTTCTATTAATTACCAACTCCACCCCATTTATCACCCCATCCATCAACTTCAAATTTCAAACCTCATTGCCCTCCCTTGATTAATCACTTCCTCCAACGGAAGGTCGAAACAATAATTACTCAAGTTGTTAATAAGTTTTACGGATTTTAACAGAATTTTTATTTATCATTCTATAATATCGATAAGACTCTTTGGATTAGCCTCTTACCGAAACTAGCCTTTCTCCTTCCAAATTTTTCGAATATTCTTACTAGACTTGTCTTAAATAAATTAATACCTAACGAGAATTGAATTCAAATCTGAAAAAAATATTTTTAAATATTTTTATTTCCTCAAATTATTTTTACCCGACCTGATTATAAATACAAAAATAAACATATCTATTTTTATTCCGTACCCGTTCGTTCCACACTCCATTTATTTAATAAACCCCTTTTTTGGTTTAATAACACAAAACCTTATTTTTTCTTGTAAAAAATACAAAGAACAATTATGCAGCTGCGGCCTTATCTAAATATTTTTTTGAAAAAATATTTATCATTTAATTGGCTTGTGTACATCTGTAAATAAAAAACATCTATAAAATATATTCTTTTATATTTTTTCATTTTATAAAAATCCTTTGCAAAATTATATTTCGTTGGTAAATTTATTTTTCTTAATAACTATTTAACATTTTTTATAAAAATTTATTCTTAGATTTTCTTTTACATTATCTCTTTAATCAGAGAGAGATACGACTGTCTCTTGAATCACTTCCCGGGACCGAATTTTTTGAGATATTAGGGAACTGTGATAAGCGGTATATTGAGAGATTCGATAATAACGCAAGAGATAATAATAATAACGCTATGTAGCCGTTCCCATCCTTTAACCATAAATAAGCCTATTTTATTATTTCCAACGAGTTCCAAAAACATATTTAATTTAGTATTTAATAAAATATTTAAAAATAGGTTGCAACCTGCTTGTCACGCCAAAAATAATTATATAGAAAATTGCTAAAATTATTTGTAATAATTTTTAAATAAAATGTGCTATATTTAAAAGTACATACAAAATATTTAAAAATAAATTTTTATTAGAATAATTATTTAAAATAAAAGCTGAAATTTGTAAAATAAAATTTTGCAAAATTTATAGATTTCTCCAAAAATTTTAGTGTTTTTTTCTTAAAAAGTTAAATTACACAACTTTATTTATATTAGAGACCGGACCTAGATGAGATCTCGATCGAAAATCTCGGTTATCGGGATCCAGAATTTTTTGAGATCTTGCTCTCGATTTTCGTACATACGACACTCCCAGTCTGGCCTCTAATGTATATCTTCAATATTCTTCTCTTTTTTACAAAAATTATTTCTAATATTTATTTTAATTGATATAATAAATTATTTTCTTTT